ATAATCACAGCTCTATGGAGCAGTATCAGACTCAAATTCTGACTAGAATTGAGTCGGACTACATCAGGCTACGGTTTTGCGTATTTATGTCTAAGGGTAATGTGTCCCAATAGTTATAGGAAGTGCCCTTCAACCCTTAAAATGATCCCTTCAGACCGAGTGAGGTCAATAGTTGACTTGGAACGAAGTGGATTCCCAGAATACTTTCCGAACTCATTCAGCAAAAGGAAAAATGCCATCTCTTTGTTAAAAAGAACTTCAAAAATGTCAGTAATTTTTACCATTAACCACAGATTTATTTTTTTTAAATAAGTCGGAATATCTTAGTTAGATATAAATACACCCAAATTCTGTACCGTTGTGTTAAAACATTATTATTACAAAAGTGAGATTTTTCATAATACACAAATCTACCAAGTTTTTTTTTTTTTACGTAAAGTAGGATGATTATGCATGACAGCTTTTAACAAAATCCCATTATCACCATTTACCTGTAAATGGTATAATGTTATGAATAATTGTCATTGCTCTTGTTCACACAGTAACTGTTATAAAGCAGGATTTTTTTTAGGTTTATGAATAATATCTACGTAGTTCTTGGGCCAATCCATATATATAAAAAAAAATAAAATGATGTCCAATGTCTTCTCTGTCAGCACAATGATTTATCACTCTCAAAGAATTACCAAGAACAACATTTGTGATTTTATTATTCTTTTTTATTTCCTTCAAAAAGTTCAGTCTCACATAGTGTATTGCAGCGGTCCCCAACTTTTTTTTGCACCACGGACCACTTTACGGTTCAGATACAATCAAGTAAAATGATACGACTGGCATAGAATCAAATACAAACAGCATAAAAATAAAACAACAAGCCAGTCCCATCTAGGTGTAAACGCAGACAATGACACACGAAGTGTGCTCCTGATGTTCAGTCTGCTCTGTAGCTTTGTTTTGGTCGCTGTAACCGCAGAAAATCCCGCCTCACAAAGATAGGATGTTGTAGATAGGATGAGTCTTGAACTGAATTAACCTGTGTCAAGAGGCACAAATGCACCGACTGATGTAATTGGGAGAGAATACCGCAATTTTTTATATTTTTCAAAATAAAACATCACTCAGACTCTGATCGTCGATGAATAATTTATATACATATATATACATACATATACATACATACATACATACATACATATATACATATATATATA